AGGCCCTTAATCAGTTGGGAGCTGAGTTTTTATTTTATGACGTGGCAAGTTTCTTTTTTTTTAACCCTTACCTGATCATCTGTCACATGGTCGGTTGGTTTTAATCTTTTTATATTTAATTTCTTGTTAATATGAATTTAATTATACAATTTTATATTTAACATTTACGTTACAACCTAATAAACCTATTTCACAGTTTTATACATATGCAAATATCTAAATTCACCAAACATTTTTAACGATCAGCTGATTCATCCTGTGACTCAATCATAATAGCTGACACAAACTGCCAGCAGTAGATAGCCAAACCAGGCCATATGTGGCATTGGAGAAGGGCGGGGGAGAGAGGCGGCCCATTGTAAATGGCCTAAGCATAGGGACAATCCATACTCGGCGGGCGGCACATGTTGAGAGAAGGGGTTTGGTTAGTTAGTATTGGCATGGATGAGTTGGTTTTAGCATTTGCTTTTGGCATTTGGCAAATAAAAAAAGAAGGTTATGAAAGCAAAGAAAAACAGGGATGGATTCAGATATTAATATGGATGGATGAACCAACCAAAGAGTTGATATGCCGGAGAGGAGACAAATTAAACACTCTGTGCTCACCAGCTCACCTCAGACCTCACCTCCCTTTCTTTCTTTCTCTCATCCAATTCAATTCTACAAAATTTATTTATTTTTTTATGGCTGAATTGACAGGTGCAAGCTGGATGACAAATTTAACAATTCCAAACACAATATCAAAATCCAAGTAAATAAGTACACAGTACCAATTTCAAGGAAGAACGTACTCTATATTGTACCCAGTAGAGAACAGCTGAACACACTAAACTAACTGAATATAATTGATTTATTCCATGCAGTTGTTTTTTTTTCTTTTCAAAATAAACTCCTCGCTTCTCCCAATTTCTTTCAACGAGCAGAATATGCGGCTTGTAATCAATCTACTCTTTCCTCTAAACAAGTTTTGAATCGTTTGTTTTTACATTCCAACACTTTTCTTGAATTTCGTGAAGCCAAACTCCGAGACTTAATTTAAGACAAAACGTGATGTGCGGAATGCGACACCACATAAGATATGCGCGTCCCCTAATAAAAAGTCTCCACACCCACACCACCATTTTAGCCGAAAGTGTCACCGTGATACTTACAGAGACCTAATGCCGAACAAAACGTACTCCTTTCATTCCTGATGCTTGTATTTGCTAGAAATCTAACACGGGTCTAAAAATGCTGACACTCTCTATCAACCAGCAGCGCCAGACACTGACGTGACGAGAAATTAAAGAAGGAAAAAAGTGGATATGAAAAGAGTGATGTGATGATGGATAATAACAGTTCACAGAGAGGGAAAAAAAGGAGGAAAGAAAAAGGCTAAGGTAAAGAAAGACAACATTACATGTATGGTATGGGATGCATGTGGCCCCAATGATTTGGCAGGCAATTCAGTGGGAGATCCATCTGTACAAATTCATGGAATTGAAACACAAAAGTAAATAATCAACTCACAAGTCATAAACCATTAACCAAGTCACCAACCACTAGAGAGAAAGAAAGAAGAGAAAAGAATACACAGTCACGCACACACATACATAACATTAACACACAAAGCAGAGCACATGAAAGCCATGTTCCTCTTGCCGGGCCTATGGTGACGATGATCATCACCTGAAAATTGTTACCTACCAAACTACTCCTCCCAGCAAACTGCTTTAAACTTTTAACATCACCTGCCCCCACATCACTTTTTTCTTTTTTTTCTTGAAATCTTATCTTCTTTTTTATGCTCCCACAATAATGCTAAAAGCTTAAAACCACTTTTTTTTTTTTTTTTTGCATTACCTGCAGTTTCTCTTTCTGTTTATTTCCCTTGAAGGAGATGAGTTTGGTAAGTTTAGCTTAATTTAGAGAAACACTAGATTCTGGCATGGTTTTGGATTAAAGTGTAGTCACATATATAATAATGCACAAATTTAAAGGTTCTACTCTGTTTTTGGAAGGATTAGCATAGCCAGCAAGAGTATGTATGGGTATAAAAATATATATATATACTCTCCGTCTCTAAATAAAGTTCCTGCTTTCTTTTTTCTGTTGTCCCAAGAAAATGTCTTTTCATGTTCACATTTTTGAAATTTCTGAAAAAGAGAAAAGGAAATTCTTTTAGAGACAGATGGAATAAATAAGAAATACATATACTCTGTACATATCTTGTATTCTCTATGCCATAGAATACTGTTCTTCTCTGGCCCCTCCATTATTTCTCCTTTGGAGTTAACACTAACTTCAAAATAAATAAATAAAAACAATTCTCCAGACATAAAGATTCAAAAAAGAGAAAGAAAAAACATTCTAAATGAAATGAAACTTTGAATATCAAAGCACAGATATAAAAAGTATTGGTTGCTGGTACAGACAAAATACAGAGTGCAGAAAATTGTGGCCCCTTGGCTGATGTAGTTCTATGGTAAGATACAGAGTGGCATAATCCTTGAGTTAGAGTTTCCTTTTTTCTTTCTTTTTTTTCTTTTTTTGAGGTGGAAAATCCAATCCTTCAGAAGGCAATTTAGTGTTTGAACAATAGATCCAGGCAACTGTATGTGGGGTCCTCAAGATTTAGGCCGGGCTTAAGCTAAAAAACTAGCTCCATCTGGAAAGATTTGACTACAATTGTTTTCAATTCAATATATCTGGAAAATGATGTCAAAATAAGGTGCAAAATTTGCATTTTTAAGAACCACTCGGCATATCAAAAGTTTTACTCCGTGCAAAACATGAGATGACAAGAAGTTATTTTATCAAACAAGTACACCGAATGAGTAAAGAAAGTGGTCTAAATATGACATATGATATTATGAATAGTGAACAATAAATTCTTTTTGAGACAGACTGAGTAGATACGAGAATAGAAAATGTTACAAGGACCTAAACGTCGTAGTTGTTTAAGCTATAAATGGCCAAACACACATTTGGCATCTAAAAGAGCTGCAGATAGAGTACATACAGAGAGAACAGAGTAGTCAAAGAACATGAGGAACTTCAATAATTAAACAATTGTGGGAGATAACAAGAAAGCAATTGGTAAATCACTTTCTCCATCACTTTGTTAGTGCATTATTAAACTACAATAAAGTGTAAGGGGGATCATTAAAGTGTGCACTAAACTAAAAGATTATCTTTAATGTCACCACACTAATGCAGCAATGATACACGCACGCTCCGGTTCACACAATTCAATAGAAAAAGACACCATTTTTGTTCAAAGAAACACGCCGTAGTGCTCACTTATGTGGCACACTGGCTGTCTCTTTGAACAAAAAGTAATGTTGAAATGCAACGTAGTGAATGAGCTCGGCCCAAGTCGGAGTTGTCCTCCTAGCCACAAGATCATAACCACTAGACCAGACCTCAATCTCAGACTTTGGGCTTGGCCCATCTATTTTGCCCAGTCCAAAGAATAGAGTTTGGAGCCTAATTCTAAATGTTAAAGGGGTTTCAATGTTAAAAATGTGGTATAATTCTGGATTTTCATTATCTAATGGTTGTTATGTATAGATGATACCAAAGAGTAACTAAAATATGAAAATCTTCTTAGGATATTTCTCATGGGAATTTCGTCGAACAGAAAGGGTGCAGCACTGAATGCACGGGATTTCGTAAGCCCTATATTTCAGTAAAGGCGTGAGCTTTGTGGCGTATGAATCTGCGGAAACGCCATTCGAATGCAGGAAGAAGAAGAATTTGTCAAAGTCAATCAAAAGACTGAGTTTTGATTGACTCAAAGCCTCTTTATGTTCTTAAAAAAGAAAGAAAAACAAACCGTTTAGGCAACCTATAGAATTTATTCTCCCTTTGGTTGGAGTGANGGGGAAGAAAAGTTATAAAATGACAGTTTTGCCATCAATTTTTTTTCTTTTGACAAACTTTTTCTCTTCTTCCTTTGCCCTTTCTTTCCTTACCCTCTTATGTCTCATTTCTTTTCTCTTTGTTTTTTTCACTTTCCACTATCCAAACAAGAGTTGTTTTCTTCTAATTTTCTCATCATTTTCTTTTGGATGGAAGGAGTACAAGGAACTTTTAGGCGGATCAAGTATAAAAACTACCCCGGAGTATGTTTTTAAAAAGTTATTCATATTAAAATTATTTCAAAATACAACATATTTTGATTATAGTTAAATTTAAAAATATCGACCATGAATTAATAAAAGAATTACGAAACACATAGAGTGTACAGAGCATGTAATAAATTTAGGAGAGAATAACAATTACACTGAGACTGAAATAAATTAGTGCAATAAATAAACTTAATTAAAATGGAGTACGTGAAAGAGTCATGGGAACCTCGGAGGGTGTGCAAAGTGGCCAACCGCACAGGGCACCTTAAATTTTAGGGCACCATATTTTTAAATTTGTTAATAATTTTAAAGCAAAAGTATTCTAAAAATATAAAATAAAGCACAAAATGTAAATTTTGGACCGGGCTAATTTTATTTTTTCATTTTTTGGGGTCGGCCCTGAAAGAGTGCACTATATATAGATAGAAATTAATTTGGTTCCAACAAAGTGGCAATGAAGAATTAATATATACTCCCTCCGTCCCTGAGTGTTTGTCCACTTTCATTTTTGCACACCATCCAATGCACTTCTTTAATCCATTTTATCTTGTAATTTGTATATTAAAAAATTATAAAAATTATATATTAATAATCTATATGTTAAGACGAATCAAACAAGATCACACATGACTATATTTAGGCTTACACATTGAGAGAATTTGATGAGTCAAAGTGCTTAGATGAACAGTTCCAAAAGTCAAAAGTGGACAAACACTCAGGGACGCACCAAGTAATACATGGACAACTAATATAACCATCATCATCATCATCCGGATGCCGTATATATATATATATGATTTGTGGATATATATATATATATATATATATATATATATATATATATATATATATATATATATATATATATATATATATATATAGATCTCACATAATCCAATCATATACGGAGTACATATAAAAACTACGTACTATGTATATATGCGGCCATATATGTACGTACAATTAATTAATACGGAGTAGTCCATATATATTATATATAAATTTATGAATAATAATCCTTAATTGGTTAAACGAATTGCTTCGATCACAGCATTTCGCAAAAAATATAATCATATATGTATATATATGATGAAAAAAAGAAAAGGATTTCGACGGCGAAAACGGGTCCTGGATCAGCTCGGTCACATACGGCGGCGGCGGCGCTGCTAATTGATGATTAAGCAATTAATTGGGTGATTAATTAATTATGTGATTAGCAGATGCGGTTCAAGCGGGAAGCGATGTCGACGAAGACGTGCTCGCAGCAGGGGATGGTGAGGCCGCCCATGGGGTGGCTGAACCCGAACTCCTCCTCGGCTTTAGTGAGCAAGTCCTGGAAGAGGGGCTGGCTGAGGTACGTGATAGGGATCACGTACCTCTGCTTCTTCTGCTGGCTCTCCCCCACGTACACCGCGCAGTGCCCCTTCGGCACCACATTGTTGTTCCTCGCCGTTGTCGATGATGATGATGATGACTTCTTGATGAAACCCATTTTCTTTTTTTTTTTTTTTTTTTTTTTGAGTTTGTTCTTAGGATCAAGTTGAATTTGGAGAAGATGGGAAAAATGGGATTTTTTTTAAAGTTGATGAAGGAAATGAAAGGTTTTTGGGGTTGTTGGTTTGGTGGTTTGATGGGTTATATGTGTGTATATATATAATGGGTGAGAGGAGGGGCCAGTTTGGGTGTTTGAAGAGAGACCTTATCACATGGTGGGGAGTCCCTACTTCCGGCATGTACACATGATCTCTTCTTCCTTACATTAAACACTACTCTTAGGGACCCCCCTCAGCTCCGATCCATCAAAAAAAAAAAAAAGGAAAAGTATTGATAGGACGGTGCATATATGGTAATAAGTTAAAACCATGCCTTGCCTTAACGTCGTACAATATGGCCTCTCCCATTTTTTTTTTCTTCGGGTCACTTGCAAGCTAGCTAGATTAGATATATACCATACTCCTTCCGTCCCAAAATCTCTTTCGCATTACTTATTTGTAGAGAATCTGAGGGAGAAATATTTTGTTTTGACTTTCTTAAATTATGATTGATGCATGTGACGAATACAAATAAAATTTGATGAGTAAATGAGTAATGAATAAATATGACGTACGTGGTAGATAAGGTGGGAATTAGTATAGGTAAAAATAAGTTTTGTTTAAATAGAGGAAAGATTTTTTGAAATGGAAAAAAATGAAAACAAGGAAGTCTTTTGAGAGTGATTAGTATGATGCATGTTAGATTGTGTTCCAAATTGGAATACCTTACATTAACATGCTGGGAAGGATTAGTTTTTCCGTTTTGTAAAATTAAAAAATGTATTTTGAAATTAATGAGAGTACAAAAGTTTATAAATCTAGCTCCAATATATAGAGATTCGATTAACATCATGAGTATAACATCACTAGCTAGGAATGCAAAAATACATTTATAATAAAATCAAATCCTGAAATCTTGAGAATAACAACTTCCTAACGAGGTTCTCTGATTCTTTAGATGTGTCTTTTAATTATCTTGATTTTCTTAATCATTAAGAAGGAATCCTCTTACTTCTATTTATAAGTCCCACACATTCTAGGAATCTTTACCCTTTTCAACTTTCTACTACATTTTTCATACTTAAGACTTTAATTTTCCATAAGTTTCTACATTCTCTCATTCCTTTTTTTTTGAGAAAAATGAGAAACAGAAGTTTTTCTTTTTTTCCCCTAGTTTCTTGAATAATGTTATCATTTGTTTAAAACTTGGTGTTGAGCACTCTACTTTGGGTGGAAGGAATATATGTTTCATGATAAAAGCATATACTCCTTCCGTTTGTGAACCTTTCTATTTTTTTATCCGTTCCAAAAAAAACTTTTTTTCATTTTTATTAAAAAGATATTTTTATATATACTAATTTTTAACCTATTTATCACATCACATTTATTTACTATTAATCTACAATCACATCCAAGGACATTTTTTAGAAACTCAACACCAAAATACATTTCTCTTAAATCTCTTAAAAATCAAAATATCTCATATGCATGTTTTCAGGAACGGAGGGATTGTAATATAAGTTGGGTCAGGTTAATTAATTGTGTTCCAAACTTGGGAAAACTTCTTAACTAATACGCTAATACGGAGTATAATTAGAGTCTGTAATGAGCCAATTAGGTGCAGAAACAGCAAGGAGGCCCTACTGGTTTGTCCTTAGAATGACCAAAGATCTTGTTGAAATCCAAGGGATTAAATCCTGGCCAATAAATAAGTACACATTATTATGCTAGAAGATACAACACATTAGCCCCCCAGACAGCCTAGCCTGCTTCCTAATTTCTGCTTCATTTTTATTAGGATTACTCGTTCATCGAATTGATAGAGATTACTACATATTCCAACTATTATGCTTTTGTGTATTTTTTTCTCTCTCCCATAATTATTTTTATACCAATTGAAGTGCTTTTTATTTCATTTTTTTCAAAATTTTATTCGAATTTTGAAAAAAATATGTGATTATATCATTTCTTTTTTCTACATGGATCACAACCATACACACATACGTAGTATATAAGAAACAAACACTACGCCTGCACGTGAGGGGGTGTGTTAGAATATAAAAAACATTTTCTGGGCAACAACCACAAGCTTGAGTTTTTGGTTGAGTTGGTTCCTTGACAGTCCAGTTTGACTTTTTGAATCAAACAGGACAAATTATAATTATCAATTACTCATAATTTATTATGTTGTATATCAATACAACAAGTTTAAATTTTAACAGCTCTTAACAACATAAATCTATTGTAATAATTTTTATATTAAAAAATTAACATTTTTATTTAGTTAAGGTTCAAAGTTTGTCGTGTTTGACTCAAAAAAGACAAACAGGACGAATACAGGGTAATACTCTATTAAAAGTTGCAACTGAGAGAGAAAACCATAGAAAGTATGCTTTTTAAGGCCTAGAGAGTATATGTCATTAATAATACTAAGAATGCTTCTTTAGTGCACTTTGAGTGCATACTATTTTTGTGGTTCTTCTCACATAAACAAGTTTTTTTTGAATTTTTTTATTAAAAAAATAGATGCTTATTTAAGTAATAAGAAAATATTTATTTTGCTAATAAGTAGTTCCATGGTGGACCTTAGGTCCACCATAGAATTTTCTTAAAAATGAACCTTTATATTAGTCAAAATGTCATAATATAACATTGGTCTATTTAATACATTTGCATACAATACTTTGTTGAAAAATGCTAGGGGTACACCTTTGGTGTACCCCATATGTTCCCCACCCCCTCCTTGTCCACTAAAAAAGACAAAAAAATTTAAAAAAAAAATAAGTAAATAAAAATCAAATAAAAATGTGTGGTGGAGAAGGAGGTGGTGTACATTTGGGGTACACTTTTTGGTGTACCCCTAGCATTGTGCTCAGATTCGAAGTGGTTCATATTCTCCTTAATTACCCCAAACTCTTTTTTGAGTCCTTCCATTGGCTACAGTAATTAAGCACTATGTATATATAGGGAGCAAAGCATATCAAAGCCCAACAATGGAAAGGCTCATTATAGTGCCCAAAAAGAGTAACGGCCCAAACAATAGTAAAAAAAGGCCCAAGAAGTCCATAATAAATGTCAAAAAATCAAAGACCAACAGCACAGACCAGATTCTTCTAGGGATTGGGTGCGATTAGACGGTTAAAGGGGGGAGAGTTGGATGCATATGGTTTGTCTGTTCCTCGTTAATGTCGTCGCCGTCACTCGTCACTCGTCACTGTACTCTGAAAGCAGCCACAAATGGTACTTTGGTTGGTTGGGAATACGTTGGGGCCCCACATGCCCCCCACACCAGACAAATTGGACCGACACCCACCCCCCCTTCTTAGCTTCATCTAAATCAATATGGAGCCGGGCGTAACTCAGCTGGTCAAGAGGATAATTTCAAATCGAATTAACGTGTTTGGATTTTGTTAACTGTGAAAAAAAGATTAACGTAAATCGTAGTTTGATTTTTATCATATTAAAGTTATAGTTCAATTTAATTCTCTCTGTGAATTACTGTTCGGATTGATATTGGGGGACTTTGGGTATAGCTTTTTTTCTTCTAAATCAAAATCTAAGCCCAAAATGTAAGATGGATTTGGAATATGGACCAGGTTTGAATGAATTTGTGTACAGTCCAGCAGCCAGCTGGTGCATCTTTTCTTAGTTGTCCTGTTTTTTTGTTAATTAATTAATAATTTAGTTAAATGTAGCCCATTAATGTTTAACTTTGATTAGACCAGTCGTTTACGTAGTTTAGTGCATGGAATTAAAAAGGAAACACAAACCGTGTTAATACGGTTACATACGGATTATTATTGGAACCTGCTAAGTCCAAGTGGTCTTTGCTTAACCTCATCTTATTTTCTTGTATAATTAATTTGCATTAAACGTTTTTACCTTGTGGTTAATGAATACCTCTTTAATTAGTCCGGATTTTGTTGTTAACTCCATAGTTCTTACTGGTATATTCCGGACGTTTGAAATTATTTTTTCACTTATTCTAATTATCTTGAAATGATGCTATGAATGGAGGTAATGGTTGCAATTCTTTTTCTTAGCATTAATAATTCTGTTACAAGATTAGCGGTAAATCTTTGGCAGTAACTTCTTTACAAAGGCAATTTGCCTCATAATTTTACAGTGTGATATTGTGAGAGTCGACATTGAGGTCTAAAAAAGGTGCAATTTTGGACTTTATTAAATGTTGTGGCTGGTGATATAATAGCCAAGTGAGTTTGAAAATGCAAGTGTGTTTTACTGTTTTAGTGTGCACTTGCGTTTTTATGCATGGCATTGTAAGCCAATGTGTTTTGTAATATATTATTGTCTCACTAAATATTTCTTGTTTTGATTTTTAAAGGATTTAACAATAGTGTATTTTGGTGTTAACTTTCTAAAAATACCTTGTACGGAGTATATGATACGTAAATGTAGATGTGATGAATAGATTAATAGTGAAGAGGTGTGAGGTGATAGGCATGTCAAAATTTAGTAGGGATAAAAGTGACTTTTTTCATAGAAATAAGAATTTTTTTTTGTAATGGATGAAAAAAGGGAGAATCGATGAAGGTTTTGTGAGACGGATGAAGTATTTAATATGCTCTGATATTTGTGCATACTACGATCTCGTACGTTTGGATTTTAGCATTAGAGATTAGCTTTAACGTTTTGAAAATGTTATCTAACGATAGCTTTAGTGTTAACATTTTCAGAACTAATTTATACCATTACAATTTTATTCAAAACTTTAACGCTAATTAAAAACGTAATTCCCAAAAAAAAGTCTACTGCACGGTTCATTTTGAACATTTTTTTGCAAATCCAACAATAAGTTTTCATGCCCTAAATATCGCTAAACTACCCATCAACAATTTTGTTAAAGAACAGGTAAATAGACAAAAAGGTGCACCAGAACTCTTTTTTTAAAAAAAACATTAACACCTTAGCTTTAATCTTTAACAAGAGGTAAAGGGTTCAATTTCAGTTTGATACATTATTATTAATTTCAACTTGGTACTTTTGTGGTTTGGGGTTGTGTTTTTCTTGATTCGGTTGGTGTTATTGGATCTTGCCATGCCACTCACTCACCCCTAAAACAAA